AAAGCTTGGAGCCACACAGGGCGCTCTGGGGGCTACAGGGTCGGTGGGCAGGCAGAGGCACAGGGCCGTGGGGGCCAGACCAGGCCCCGCACCCTCACGCCAGCCTGGGTTGGGACCTTAGTGGAGTGGGCCGGCCTTTTCTTTGGCTCTTGAGGGGTGCTGTGGACCCAGGCCAGACAAGGGCAGCCTTGTGGTCCGGAGGCCTGGCTGCCTGCCTGCCCTCTGCCCACAGACCCAGAGGGTCTGATCCCCACAGAGGCCCACCTGGACAGGAAAGCTCAGGGAGCAAGCAGCCTGACTGGGAAGCTTACCTGGCTGACACGTAGCCCAGCCTGTTCTCCAGGGGGGCAGGGCTGCTGCTGAGGACCGGAACGCCATCTGGCCAAGGGAGAGGCAAGTGGTCAGAAGGGGCAGCTGTCCGGCCAGGTGGCCGTGCTGCTCACCAAACCCTGCAAAGGCAGTGCCCTTCCCCAGCCCCTGCCCCCCGAACGCACACAAAACAGGCCGCATTTCAGGGGTTGCAGTGAGAGGCAGCAACTGTCCTGTGTATTCTACTCCCACAACCTGCAGCTGCTCTCTGACTCGGTTGCGGGGAGGAGAGAGAGCACAGGAGACGCCCATGCTTTCCTGGGCCTCGGCAGGATGAATACGGAAGCGGAGGAGGGGAGGCAGGGGAGGACAGAAGATTCAGCGGGCAGGAATCAAGTGGGGGCCCGGGGTGGGCGAAGGGGGAGGCTTACTTGGGAAATACTTGTGCCACTTCTCCAGCAGGAAGTCATCCACTGTTTGAGCAACGGAGGAGGAGAGCCTGGGGCCCAGCCCCGAGTCCCAGGCCCACTGGGTGGGCATGGGTGTAGCCGGGGCTGGGACCGAGAGACTGGGCAGGGCAGGGTAGGTGGGAGCAGGGGCACCCTTGACGGTGCGTGGTGCCGGCGTGGAGGTGAGGAGCGGGGGTCGGGGCTGGGCACCGAGGCTGCTGAGCAGGCTAAGGGCCCCCTGCAGCTCGCTGTTGACGTGCTGCAGGGAGCTGCTCAGACAGTGGATCTTGATGTGGAAGTCGGGGCTCTGCATCCCAGGGACTGGAAGGAGAGTGGGGACAGTGGGCAAGGACCCAGGCCCAGCGCACACAGCAGCACCCACTGGCCCTGCCTGCCCGAGCTGACCACAAAGGGGCTCTCCAGGGTGAGGCCCAGATGGGACCAGGATGCTGGCGAGAAGGCAGGGAAGGCCCTCCCGCCCACGTGCAGCAGGCGAGGAGCAGGGGACACGAAGGTGCCCCATGGCCCCCATCCAGGCGTCCCGCCGGTGCTCCCCCTCCAGCAAGGCGCACGCCCTGCACCCCTGCCACCCTGCTACCGCCACTCACTCTGAGGCAGCGAGGAAGACTCAGAACTTGTGCTGCTCAGGTCTTCCAGGTCACTGAGGTCGAAGGTCACCGCCTTCTTGGCCGAGGCTCCTCTCAGAGTGTCCTCCTCTGAGGCCTGAGGGGGAGAAGGAGCACTATGCTGGCCCTCCTGCCTGCCTTCTGCCTGCCGCCCTTCTGATGGGTGCGGGCAGGGTCTACTCAGCACCGCAAAGCAGCCTGGGAGAGGCCCGTCACGCAGGCTGCCCTGGGCGGGCAGCGAGGAGGGGAGGAGAGAAGAGGTTACGGAACCCAGTGACCTGAGACCAAGACAGCAGGTCACCTGGCTCAGACAGGCCTCATCCGCCCCAGCCTGCAATAAACTCTCCCCGTAGCCTTGCTCCACTGAGCTTCCTCCGGGGGCAGCAGCAGTTCTCAACCTGTGGGCCGTGACCCCTTTGGGAGTCAAACGACCCTTTCACAGGGGTCACCCGATTCATCACAGTAGCAAAATGACCGTGATGGAGTAGCAACGAAAATAATGTTATGGTTGGGGGCAGGGGAGTCACCACCGCATGAGGAACTGTGTGAAAGGGTCGAGGCATGAGGAAGGTGGAGAACCGCTGCTCCACAGAAAGGCCCACACAGGGCGGGGAAGCCTCCAGCCCCTGGCTGTCCCAGCACCTGGGCCCCACTTCTTCCTCTGCTCTGCAACAGGGTAAGGCTGGGAGCCAGTCCCCCTGTCTCAGGAAAGTAGTCCCCGACTACCCAGGACAGACGTCCACCCCACCCAGGGCTCCGCACGCTCAGAGCTGAAGCCACCAGCCCAGGCCCCGATCCCAGAGGCCCAGACACCACCCCCCACAGCCTGCCTTACAGGGGACCCAAAAGCTCGTCCCCACCCCGGGAGCGGAGCAGAGGGGACTGCGTGTCCCCCCGAGCTGCACCTCTTCGCGGAGAGAGGCCTCCAGCTGGGTCAGCCTTTCCTCCTTCTTCCTCAGCAGGTCCTGAGTTCTCCGCACGGCAGATTTCATCTCTCCCAGGTGCCTAGTCTCCTGCAGTCAGGGCGGAGGGCGGGGAGACGGGACGGACGACTTGCCACAGGCTCGGGAGGGAGCCCGGTGAGGCCACTGACTATGCGACGTGGTACAGATTGCTGAGCCACGCCGTCTGGCTTGTCACTTGGAGGGCTAGGAGAATTCAGGGCTAGCACGGCTCACACTGCTCACCGAGCCTACGGGCGTCCCCGAGAGGCCCTGGGAACCAGCCACCTCCCATTACGACCCCCTTCTCCTGACCAGAGCAATGGCAAGACCCGGGAAGGAGAATACACCTGTTTTTACCAGCCTCTTGTCCCCTGCTGACGGCGCAGTGGCGTCTGTGTTGGACTGTTAATAGCAAGGCCTGCGGTTCAAACCCACCAGCCCCTCCATGGGCCCACGAGGGGGCCATCTGCTCCCCTAAAGATATACGGTCTCTCTTTCCACAATTAAAAAAAAATTACACTAATAGCTATGAGTACAAGGAAGAAGAAAATGTTCTAAAATTGATTGAGCTGATGACTGTACAACTCTTCTTGATATGATTGAACTGCCTGCATTGTATGATATGTGGATGAAGTGCCAATCAAACTGTTAAAACAAAACAAGCTAGTCAGGTTCAGAACCCTCAAGGAGTTCTCCTCTGTCCTACAGGGTCACTATGAGTCAGCATCGGCCTGATGGCCGTGCCTAGTTTGTCCTCCACTGCCCTCAAGCCCGCCGTGAGGGGCCGACACCCACACCAGCTCAGTATCAGCACCCTACGGGATAGGACATGAGCCTAGACCTCCGGGTACATGAAGATCTGTGGGCCCAACGAGTAAGAGCCAGGAAGTCTCGGCCTTGTCGCTGTAAACTAGGTTGTCCGGTTTAAGGTGGGGGGGGTATTGAAACACAGGAGTAGCTCGGCCTTAGAGGTTCACCCAATTTCCCACCGGACGTGACACCGGCGAAGCCTTAGTCAGGCTCTTCATGCAGAGGGTGGGAACGGGAGCGCTACCGGAGGGGAGGGCACTCCCACGGGGAGCCCGAGGGTCACGGGGTTTACAATCAGAGAACGTGCGCTGAGTATTGTGTTGGCCGCAGAAATGTTTGTAAGGTGCGTTTGCCCTCACGAGAGACTCTCCATCACCCATCCACTCCCCCAGAACCACCCCCCTGAAGCCACTGGAGCAAAGAACCAGGAAGGCACTTGGCGAGGCTCGTGTCCCCACGCAGGGCTGCAGGTCCCCAGAGCCCCTGACCTCCTTCAGGTTCTTGCGCACATCGTCCAGAACCTCAGTGCCAGGCGGGTCTTTGGCGGCATCTGGAGCGCTGGCCAGCTCCTGGCGCCAGTGCTGCTGGGCAGCCTTCAGCGCCGTCTGCCGCCTCCGCAGAGAGCGCGTCTGCTGCACCAGGTATGCCTTGGCACTCCGGAGGGCCAAGCCCTCGGAGGAGAGGTAGTGCCGGACACTGTGGGAGGGCAGGCCCGGGCAGAGGCGTTAGAGGCAGGAAACCACAGGCTCGTGGACCCCTGTCCCACAGGTGCCGCCCAGGGTGGGCAGGAGCAGCTGCGTGGGGCGGTGACACGTCAACACCAGTGCTGCAGTCTGCTGGGTCTAGTGAGCGAGGTCGCAGATGCAGCGCGACAGTCGAGAACCCAGAGACGGGCTGCTCTGTGGCTGAGCAGAAGCCCCTCAGCCCCCGGGCCCATCTCCTCATGCGAGTGCCCCCTCACCCACCAGCGGCTATCGGGACCCACCTGTCCAAGGACGCGTCGTCGCCCTCCTCCTTGCTCTGGGAGAGAGAAGAGGACACCTCTTTGGTCTGGCTCTAAGGGAGAGAAGACCCACCGAGTTAAACAAGAGCCCTGGACAGGCAGGGCTGCAGGCTGCGAGCCCCGGGCCCTGCCAGTGTCCCAGACCGAGAAAGGGCCCCCGCGGCGGGTGGCGGGGGCTGGGAGATGCCCCTTGTCTCCTGGAGGTGGGGGGCTGGGGATGGTAACCAAGGGAGGGCCCAGGTCCAGACAGCCGCGCCAGCCCCTCCTGATGCCCTGTCCCAGCCGCCCTGAGAAGCTCACTGTCCCAAGCGACTTCCTCAGGTCCTCAATGTGGAGATCGGGCTCCAAGCGTGGGGAAGCATTACTCTCCTTGACTGCCAGCTCATCCAGCACTTCCTGCTTCCTCTGAACTTCAGCCTCCAGGTCGCTGGGGTGGAAGAGGGGGTGGGAGTGAGGCAGGGTCACATGATGGAGCAGGTCAGACAACATGCTGCTGGGACTGGACTGCGGGCCACTCCAGCCCTTCACGCGCACTCGTCCAAGGGCAGGACCAGGACTCTGCTCCTCACCACCCCAAATCCCCAATCCAAACCTCCTGCTGTCAAGTCGCGGCCCCAGAGCACAGAGCAACCCTGCCCACAGGGTCTCCAGGACGGCAGACTGCCACACCCTTCTCTGACGAGCAGCGGGATGGGCTCCAGCTGCCGGCCTTTCCGTTCTAGCAGCTGAGTGCCAGCCACCGTGCCCCCAGGGCTCTGGACAGCCGCCAAGCCCCCACGGCCATCAGTCTAGTAGGACCAGTCTAAAGACGGTACATCCTTCTGGAAGCAGTCTCCTGGTTCTCCCAAAGTGCAGGTCGTGGGTTGGAACCGCTGACTTCTCAGTTAGCAGCCCAGCAATTAACTCACTGCCCCACCGAGACTCCACCCAGCACCTACTACCATCAGCCAGAATCTGATTCCTGGAGAGTGGCTGGTGGGTTTGAACCACCGACCTTGAGGTTAGCAGCCCAATGCCTAACCCCCAGAACCACCTGGACTCATGTGTCACCCCCCCATCCACCTACCCCCACTCCCTACCCTCTGCCATCAAGGCAGTTCTGACTCGTGGCAGCTCTATCCAGGGTTCTGAGACAGAAAGTCTTCACAGGTGCACACAGCACCAACTTTCCGCTACAGGGCAGCTGGGGAATTTAAATCACTGACCGTCAGGTTGGTAGCCTAACCCACAGCGCCACCAGGGCTGCTTTTATCACTCCCCCGATAAAACAATCTCACTGCCATCGAGTCGATACCAACTCATAGCAACTCTGTAGGATAGGGCAGAGCTGCCCTAGGAGTTTCCGAGACCGAAACTGTGTGAGGAGTCGAAAGCCCTGTCTTTGTCCACAGAGCAGCTGGTAGTTTAGAACTGCAGACCCCACATGTAACCACAATGCCACGGGGCTCCTTTACCAAGTGCAGCCAGCACAAGACCCTCTGCCTGGCTCCCAATTACGGCCCAAACTGGGCCGTGCGCCAGCCTTCAGCGGGCGGGTGGGCAAGAGCAGGCCACACACACCTGAGCTTTCTCTGTAGCTGCTCCACCTGAGCCTCCAGCTCCAGCTTTCGGGCCTGCAGTTCACTGAGCACTCTCTGTAGCTGCTGGCGGGACTCCAGCAGCCGGGCCTCTTCCTCCTTAGCCTCTTGCAGATGCTGATGGATAGCTGCAGCTTCCTGGTGGCAGAAGAAGACACCGTGGGGCATCGGCAGGGGGCCAAGAAGCCCAAAAGACAGGGAGAGGGTGGGTTTCCCGATTCCTGCAGGCTGCTGCCTGCCCCAACCCCCCAATCCCACTCCTGGGGTTCCCAAGGTGGGCTCCACCCGGAGGACCTATCTGCAGGACACCAGACACGAGAGTTTGGAAGCCCAGCGCCTGGGACAGAGGAGGGGAGCAAGTGAGCCAGGGGGCAGGGAATCTCGGGGAAGGCCAACCTCGCTTTCCAGCAACCGCTGTCTCTGTACATCCAGGAGCTGCTGCTTGTCCCTGAGGGCGGTCTCCTCCTGGGGAGCAGGGACAGACGCTGGGGCAGTGGACAGGCCCTCCATCTCCCTCGGGGAGCTCGGACTCCAGGCTGAGGAGGCCCGTAAGCCCGGTCTTCACCCACTCCCTTACCTGGGTGTCCAAATGAGCCAGTCTGCCCTTGAGGTCTTTAGTTCTGGCTTCAAGGTCCACCTCTAACTTTTGCAGCTTCTCTTCCTGCAGAGGCCCAGGAGGAGAATCAGGGGTGATCTGCTGAGAGCACCAGGCATCGCACAGGGCTCCAGCTTCCTCCTGGTTTCCCGGGGCACCGCCCAGGAAAGTCTACCACCAGTGGGTGCAAGGGGCAGCAGAGGCAGCAAGCCCAGGTCCGTGCAAGGGGCAGGCCTCCCTTCCAATATTACGCTGCCCCAGCCCCAAAACTAAAGGAGCGCAGATGCCCAAGGTAGGGAGCGGGGTCCAGCAGCCCCAGCCCTCACCTGCTCCCGGTGCCGGCGCCACAGGGCCTCCCGCTGCCGCTCCTGCTCCTGCCGCGTGGCCTCCACCTCTCGCTCGTGAGCCCCCCGCAGCCGATCCAGCTCCCCAGTCAGGTGGCCCAGGAGCTCAGCCCGCTGCTCCCGCTCCTACCGGGGGTACAGCAGCGGTGAGCAGAGCAGCAGGGCAGGGAGGGCTCCCAGCCCTCGATTCGAGGCCTGCTCCCGCAGCCCGGGTCAGTGAGGTGGGGAAAGCAGCTGCCCCCGGAGGCCAGCACTTCAAAGGGAGAAGCAGGGTGTGGAGAACAACACAGCCCTCTCCCCCAGACGTCATGGGTGGGGGCCTGGCTGTTCCGTCTTGTACAAGTTTTCCTCTTTGGCGGGGGAGACGGTAGTAATAGCTAATGACCAGAAGTCCCCAGCAAGGTCCTCACTGACTGGGGTTCGAGCCCAGGACTGCCATGTCTGTATGGAGACTGTGAAAGAGGCTGGGCTCCCAGCACAGACTCTGCTAGGGGCTGAAGTCAGCCTGGGGTGGGGGGGGGGGGAGAGCCGGTGCAGACAGCTGGGGCCCCCTCCCATCACTGCATCCGTGCTGTGTGTTAGCCATCCCAGTCCTGAGAAGGGCAGCCTGAGTGGAAGAGGGAACCAGCCAAAGGCAAGCAATGCCCGCCCAACACCAGGTGGCCTCCTGCTAAGGGTAAGCTGCCCACAGCCCCTGCCCGCAGCCCGCCCTCTGGCTCTGCCCACAGCCCACCCTCTGGCTCCGCCCACAGCCACGGCACCTCTGCTTCGTACTGTTGTCTCCTCTCAGCCAGCCTCTGCTGGTGCTCCTCCTTTAGCTTGCCCAGCCTCCGCTCATGCTCCCGTTCCACCTCCTGGCGCTTCTCTCTCAGGAGGTCGCTGAGCTGCAGGGCGGGCAGCAGAGGGCAGGGCCGCGACATCAGGACAGAGGTGGACCACTCGCAAGGACAAGCGCACTTGAAGGCCCCCCACACATATGGGCCGTGCATGTACCTCCCCAATGCCTCCCTCGGCATACTACCATCTATACACATACATGACCCCAGAACATATGCCCCCCACACCTTAACATACTACCATCTACATGCCATGCATACGTGATCCCAGAACATATACCCCAACACCCTGACAAACTAACATCTACATGCCATGCATACATGATCCCAGAACATATACCCCAACACCCCCTGACATATCACATCTACACGCCACACATACGTGATCCCAGAACATATGCCCTCCACACCACCACCACCACTCCCAGGGGCATAAGGGAAAGGATGCATGGAAATGGAACCAGAGGTCCAAATCCTCACAGGGCCATGTGGCGCCCATGGGAGAGCCCGACCCAGGCCCCTGAGAGGGCACAGGGAAAGACCGGGCAGTGTCACCCTGGGAGATCAGCACTCACCTCTTGCTCATACTCCATCACTTGGTGAGCTTTCTGATGCGCTCGCTGCTCCTGCCCGAGGCTCTCCTGCAGCGGGGCTTCTCCCACCTTCTTCTGCAGGCTAGAAACCACCTGACAGCCCAGAGAGCAGGAGCTGCCTCAGTGGGGGCTACCTCCCTGGGGGCCCCAGGTTGGGTTCTTCTACCAACCACCCCTGAGGAGGCCCTTCAGGCTCCCCAGTCATAGAGTGTCCTCCCACCCCCGCTGCCCGCCGCACCTCACCTCTCTGTGCTCAGCCTGCAGTGAGGCCCGGACGCGCTCCAGTGAGGCCCTGTGCTCCTTCTCCAGCTCGGCCACAGCCTGCAGGCGGGAGAGGGCTGGTGAAGGGGGTGGGGGTGGGGGGTGGGGGCAGCCACCAGGGACTGACAGCCAGGGTGAGCATGCCACCCCTCCTGGAGCTCCGGGGGTAGGGGGATCCCGAGCACACCTTTGTCTCCTGAAAGAGACCCTCCAGGGCCCGCAGGCTGCAGCGGGCAAGTGACCGGGAATCTGAAGGCCAGGCCAAAGCCCACTGCCTCCATCAGCCCTGCCTCTGGGATAGTCATGTCTAGAGGACACTGGAGGCCGTGCATCAGGCCCACAAGGCCCACATGGCAGGGTTTCAGCTCAACATGCAGAGGCATGCCCTCTGTGATCTGCTGGTGGCAGCATCTGAGAAGCCCTCCACTACGCACCCCGAAGAAGCAAGCCCTACGTGGCCAGACGGTGGTTTGCTTAAGCATTTAACCTGGAGCCAGACCACCTGGTAGGAAGGAGAGGGAGAAAGGACAGGGGAGAGAAAGCAACCCCCTCCTGAGCATGCCCCGCTCTCCCTCCAGACAGGGCAGGGCAGCGAGGTCACAGGCAGCTGAGCCACTCCTTGGGGACAGGGCAGGGCAGGCCCAGCACCCGAGTCTTGAGACCTCTCTCCTGGTTCCCGGTCTCTCGGCCATGCCACCTCCCAGGACCTTGCCCCTCGAACCTCTCATGGCCACGCCACCACAGGCCACGGCAGAGCCTGCTGCCAGCCCGGCCCAGCCCTGGGAGGGGCCCTCTGCCCGCTGCAGCTCTGCCGGGGAGACTGAGGCCCCGTCCGGCCCGCGGAGGTGGACCTGCTCACATCTTTCTGCTCCTCTTCCAGCCGCTCCCTCAGCCGCTGCAGGGCCTTCTCCTGCTCGGCCCTCAGGGCGGCCTGCTCTCTCTTCTGGGAAGCCTCCGTCTCCTCCTTGAGCTGCTCCAGCATCCGCCTGCTTCCCTGCTCCAGGGTGGCCCTCTCAGCCTCCTGCAGGGACTCCAGTTCTTCCCTCAGCCTCCGCAGGGAAGCCTCTTGCTCCACCCTGCGAGACAAAATGGTGTGGGCCGGTGCCTGGGGATGGACCCCGCCACGCTGGCAGCTCCCGGCACACGCTCACCTCATTCGATGTTCCTCTGCCTCCGCACTGGCCCGGAGCTGGGCCCGGAGCTGGGACAGCCGCTGTCTTTCCTCCTCTCTCACCTGGGCCTCCTCCTCTGCCATGGCCTTCTGCAGCTGTTCCTTCAGGGAGCTGGGGGCACAAAGGGAGGGACCACAGGCACCTTCCTCTTCCGGTCGGAATCCTGGCTCTCAGCCTCCGTTACCCCGGCCGGAGCCTGTCTAGGAGCATCCTCAGTCATGGAGTCGGGCCAGACCTCAGCCTCTCTGCCCCAATCCCCAGGCACAGAAGGGGTGAGCCACCCCACCCTCACCCTTCGCCACAGGAAGCAGACTGCAGGCTGCTGGATCCCAGGACGGCATAATTCCTTCCAGAGGCCCCCGCTGCCTGTCTGTTCACCCCAGCATGGCTGATACAGGACCCACCTGACTGGTTCCATCCACCTCCACTCCCCACCCAAGAGGCTCCATCCCAGCCACATCTGATGAGTTCCCGCCTCCAAGCCCCACCCTCTTCCGTGCCTCTCCACTTGTGTCCATCAGCCTGGAGCGCCCTGTTTGACCTGAGGGGCCTACAGCCAGCTCGAGTCACCTCCTGTCCAGGAAGTCTTTCCAACTGCCTCCCAGTTAGTCCATCAGACTGTCCGTTCCCAGCAAACTTAACCTGTGGGGCCTCTTGCTTCCCATGCTGCTCTGTACCAAATGACCCTTCACACCTGATTCACCGTGTGTGTGTGCCCGTGTGCATGTGCGTGGGCGTGCCGTCTTAACAAGTCTGGGAGCTTCTCTGGAGAAAGAATCCTGTCGTAAAACATATCCAATCCCGCGTGCTAAGCACAGCTGATACCATAGCTGTGTGTGGAAGTGGGCCAGCACCGCCAGGCCCCGGAGCAGCTCGTCGGCTGGTGCTGTTAAGTTGGTTAGTGGCCCTGGTTGACAGAGACGGCTTCTTCTCAATGTCCACCTGACTAGCAGAGCCCAGCTTCTATTCTGTTGGATAAGCAGGCCCAGCGAGGGGCCTACATTTCCTTATCTCCTTCAAAACTCGGGGTACCTGTTACTTCACCTACGCTGCGGTCCGAGCAGGAGTACCTGGCACACGCTTCCAGGACAACTCCTTCAGAACTGACCGACGGCGCTCAGGGGTGCCTCTTTTCCTCTTTTCTCCTCTGTGCCCCTGCTTCCTGCCCAGAGTTCGACGAGACGGCTAGGGTGCCAGCAAGCAGGCAGATGGGACCATAGAGCAAACCAGCACTCAAGGTGGCCGAGCCGAGCTCAAAGGCGGAGGGGCCTGCAGACCAGAGTCACCGCCGCACTGGCTGGGCTGCCTTTCTAATGCAAACAAACATCTAGCTTTTCACAGACACACACACGGTGCCACACAGACGTCTGGGCCAGGCCAGGCTTGGGTGGCATGTCTAAAGCCAAGGACACAGAGAGTCGTAGCCAAAATAGCCAGTCCTAGCTCCCGGTCAAGAACGCCTCACGCTCTGCGTGACCCCTGACATCTCTTGGGATTCCAACAGGGCAGTGACTCCCCACAGGGCAGAGCGCCTTCCCGGGGGACGGCTGCACCGTCTAAGACCCAGCTGTGGGTCTCCAACAGAACAAGAAGGTGGCCACAGACGGAATCAAGAAACTAGTCTGCGGATGAACAGTGGACCTCAGGGGTGGGGCGCGTCCACGGTCCACAGGCCACAAGATCATCCGCACCAGTGGACATCGGACAGCTCTCCAGAGAGCAGTTCCAGCCATCACGGCCATGGGGCACGAACCCACCGTGTGGCCGGTGGGGCCCCCAAATGATGGTATGACTACCCAAGCGGCCGTCATTAGAAAGGGTCCCCACCCCTACAGGAAGCCAGGCCTCATCTACCTTGAGGCGGGGAGAGACAACAGGTGTCCAGCTACCACTACCAACCATCCTGACCAGGGGCCCCTGGACGGGCCCTGAGGAGAATGGGAGCAAACATGAACAGCCTCTAGCTCAGTTTTTAAAATCACACATACTGGTTGGCTGATACCGCAGGGCTCGTAAGAGTTCTGCTCTGTTCTACTCTTTAAACTTTGACCCCAAACTAGTCCCCAAGGGCACCTCATGGTCAGAGATTCCCAAACCTATCTGGTCTGCCACCCCCTTTTCAAGGGAAAAACCACTCAGCAGCCCCCTCAGCATAAAGGACACACATTTGTACTGCGGCCCAAGGTAAAGTGCAAGTCTCTGTGGTTGCAGCCCCCAGGAGGTGGTATTGTGCACTGTGAGAAACACTGCTTTAGATCATAACAAATTCACTCATAAAACAAAGAGCACGCAGGAGGTCTGTCAACAACGACGACCATCAAACCAGGAGAAGAACGTAGGCGGGCGGGTGGGGGGGCGGGTGTCGAGATTCATCAAATCCAGAACAGAAACACTAAGTGCGTCATGCATTGGGGAGCATAAAACCAACGTCCCTCAACGATCAGTGTGGAATCAGTTCCCCGTGTTGACTGGGAACCTACCTACGCCTTTGTGTAAACCTTCACCAAAATAACGCCAAACCCAAACCGATCTCTCTGCCATCGAGTTGGTTCCAGCTCACAGCCATCCTGTAGGACAGACGGACCGCCCTGGTGGGTTTCTGGTAAAGCTTTGTAGGCTCAGGAAAGCCTCATCTTTCTCCAGTGGAGCAGCTGGTGGTTTCCAACTCCTGACTTTGCAGTCAGCAGCCCAACAGGTAACCACTGCACCAGGCACCTTGTCTGTATTATAAGTCTATCAAATGGGGTTGATGACAATAACTCCTGGGGTCATGCTAAAAGACTTTAACAGGCACAGAAAGCCCCTGGATCAGTACAGTCTTTCCACACGTGTCAGCTACTTGGACTGTCCGTGGAGGAGGCCAAGCCGGTGACCAGCGTACACTCCAGAGGCTGTGCGTCGTCACAGCAGAAGACGGCCCCTCCTTCTCCAGGATGGCCTTAGCCTGCCAGCCCAGCACGAGCCACTGCACATGTTCAAGGGCAAAGGTGTCACTTTGGGGACTAAGAGGCACCTGACCCAACGCCCTGGTATTTTCCATCACCTCGTGGGCATTTGCAAGCTGAACAGTGACTATGGAAGACCAAGAAAGGCATGCCTTGGGGCTCTGACGCTGGCGGAGGGCACTGAAAACACTATGGACTGCCAGAACACATCAGTCTGTCCTGGAGGGAAGCCCGGCCGGACACTGCTTAGACGTGAGGACGGCGAGACTGCCGTGAGGAAGGGCAGTGCCTTTACCCAGGACACCCTGCTTGGTGCAGCAGAAGGGCCATGAGAGAGAGGCCCTCCGTGAGATGGACGGACGGACAGGCGGACCCAGCCCTGCCACAATGGCTTGGGCACGACGAACATTGGGAGGAGGGTGCGGGGGCGGGGCCGGGCGGGGTCTCAGCCTGTGGCGGGCAGGGTGGCTGAGAGTTGGGACCCCTTTGATATACCTGACATTCCCTCTCGTTGCTATCCTGCCTCCCATGTCCCTCTGGAAACACAGCGGGGAAGGGTGGTCTTGATGGGGCTGTGTGCGTCAGCTTGGCCTCCAGGGCAGGAGGGGTGTCCCTGACTCTCCCACGTGACCACAAGCGCGGGGCCCCCCCCCCGAAGCTTGCCTACAGGGAGGAGCAGGACCTGAGAGACTTCTCCTGCTGCTGGTGGAGCCGGAGCGTCTCCTCCTGCCACAGCTTCTCCGGAGACTGCTGCAACCGCGCTGGCCGAGACTCCGGCGGCGGCCTCCCGTCCTGCTCCAGCTCCTGTGCGGCTGCCTCCTCCATGGCCTCCACAGCAGCCTCCCCGAGCTGCGCTGGGGCGTCTGCAGGCTCCACGGACCGCCTTCCAAGGGTAGAAAACAGCACAGCGCTGAAGTGGGGGTATCTGCCCCCTCCCCTGGCCAGGTGTTTCTACAGATGCAGGGCGCCCCAGGTGAGGAGTCCACATGAGGCGGGGGGGCAGGGGCCTACAGTCTGCTCATCTGTCTCTAGGGGCAGGCCTCCCCCTTGTGCCCGAGGTTTAAGGGGGGAAGGGTGGGCCACCCTAGGCTCTCGGTGGACCTGCCAGCTCTGTTCCAGTTGTGACGGCAGCAGAGGGAGTAGAGACCTGGCCCCTGTGGACCTGTCTGCCCGCAGCACTGGGCTAGTGATCTGGGAATTGCACCCGGAAGCTGAGTAGAGGCAATGCAGACAAGCCGAGGAGGAGCAATACTTGTCTCCCAGCACTAGACCCAGCCCAGCCCACCCGGGCCAGGCAGGGCAGCAGCCTTGCCTAAACCAGCCTGAATGACGGGGGTGGGGTGGGGGGTGGGGGGTAGAAGGTGCATGGCAGGAGATAAGGAGCAATGGGGGCAAGTTTGGGTTGGCAAGTTGTCTGCAACACTGCTGGCTTGCGTCCATTCTCATCCTGATGGGAAATGCGTCCAAGGAAACCCTGAGAACACTCTGGGGGTGAAGTATTTAGAACCCAGAACTCCTCTCCTGAGAAGCTAGTCCCCAGTTGTACTTCTAGGTCCCTGGATGAGGCACCCACTTGGCCCACACCTCGCGCCAGTGCAGGCTGCCACAGTGGTTCTAGTGACCCTGGAGGAGCCAGTGTGCACGACCTAAATAAGAGGATGGGGGCAAGTCACACGAGAGGGCCGTCCTCCCTGCTGGGGACCCCTACTCCTCTCCTCCAGCTCCAAGTCCACAGCAAATGGAAGGCAGTGGGCAGGACCAGAGCAGAAGGAAACCAAATTCCAAGCAGCCAAACCCAGTGGCATCGAGTGGATGCTGACCCCTGGCGGCCCCACAGGACAGGGCAGAACGGCCCCTGCGGGCAGGTTTCCCAGGCTGGAGCTCAGCGTGGGAGTAGAAAGCTCGTTCGCTCTCCCGGGAGAGACTGATAGTCTCCAACCGCTCACCCTGTGGGGAGCAGGGGCTCAGGAATACCACCTCCGCCCTTGGGAGGCGGATGCTGGCTTCCCTGCCCTCTGGCTTAGCCCAGGGCTGCTCTTCAACCTTGCCTGGGCTCTCTCCTCTGCCCAGCCTCTCCTCCCAGCTTGTAGGCCTCGCTTTCTGGTACAGCACCCCCTGGGCCCGACAGGATGCAGATGGAGTCAGTTAGAGAAGCTGCTGCGCCCCCAACCCCTCCTGCTGCGGCGCTCCGCCTCACCAACCCTCCAACTCATTGCCAACCTCGGCTGAATGCATCTCTTTTCCCTGAGATGGTGCCTCCTAATGTCTGCCTTCCCTGTGGGCTGCGTGGCTGTGTGGGGCCCCAGGGACAGCGGCGGCAGAAAGATGGGCATCAATAAGCACACTCCAGCAAGCAGGCCGCACACCTGGTACGCGGACACGGGGCTGCTTTCAGCGGCCCCTTCTCCCATCCCTGGCTTGAAAGAGCTCGGTGAGCACAGTCCCTGGAGGACCTGCAGAGGCACAGGGACCTCGGAGACGCCAGAGGGAGAGAGGGGTCTGATTTCTAGGCCAACTCCTCAGGTGTCGGCAGAAATGAGACTCAGTTTCTAACGCTGAGTGGCAAAAGAGGAGGTTCTGTGGGAACCTAATCATGTCAGGCTGCCAGCAGAGCAGCTGCCAGGCCCGAGATGGTGGGCCAGGCAGAAATCTATGGCCAGCACGGGTAGGCCAGGGAAATGTGTGCTACCAGAAAGGGGTGTGCTACCAGAAGCCGGACTCCAATCAAAGCCAACTCCACTCCTCTCACACTCAGCCCAGAGGCTCTATGGCTGCTGGACTGACAAGCGGGGAGGGGAGGGGAGGGGGCCTGTTTCCCAGGCTGGGCACTCCGGCCACCCAGCACGGTGGCAGTGGAGGCTGGGCCTGGCCCTGCCTCCTCTCTGGCTTCAGCTGGACTTCAATTTGGAAGCTGCCGGACACAGAATTACTCCCACCAAAACCCCCCAAACCAATCAATTCCTCATGCAAGCCTGGGGGTGTGGGGGAGCTCCAGCAGTGTATGAATGTTACCTCGGGGACAAGGGGAGTGTTACTGAGACCCCAGCAACAACAGCCTCCCTGCAAAGGGGGAATCAACCCAAAGTAAGGGATGACCCCGCCCAGGGGAGGAGCTCGTCCCAGGAAGGTGCCCCTTGGGGCCCTATCCTCAGGGAGCACACTGCTACCGCCACCGCCATCGCAGGCCAGAGGCTCCAAGGACAGGAGAGGCAGGGGCATTCCTGGAAGTCGCCCTTCCCAACAGGCACTCCCGGCCTGCTGCTGTGGGTGACAGGAGAGGATGAGCTCATGCCCTGCCAGCTCTGGGTGACCCTTAACTGTGGCCATCACTTCGTAAGCCTGTTCAGAGGTCAGTCCCTGTCTCCTGGTGGCTCTTAATCCCTCTGCTCCTGCTCAGCTCAAGCCATGATGCCTGCCTTTCTCCACGTAAAGCACAGGGACAGTGGCCAGAAGTCAGGGGTTCAAGTCTCGTCCTAAGGCTGCACCTGACTAGCAACGTGACCTTGGGAGACTCAGCCTCTGCCCCTCTCTGAGCCTCACGCTCCTCATCTGTGAAAGGGGCCAGAGCGGTCGGATGAGAACGGGAGTAGACAAAAACACGAAGCAGCCTCTAAACCCAGCAGAGCCTGGGTGCAGCAGCGGGGGTGAGCCTGGAAACGTGTGGCGCTCCGGAGCCCAGGCACGGAGTTCACTCCCTCACACACCGCCACCAAGTGCATGCCGACTCAGCGGCCCTCGGGGCAGAGCAGAATGCTCCTCTGTGGGTTTCTGAGGCTGTAACTCTCTATGGAAGCCTCACCTTTCTCCCATAGAGTGGCATGTGGGTTCGAACTGCTGACCTCACAACCCAGTGCAGAATCCACTACAGAAGCTGGAGCCTGGATCGAAAGCTCCAGAATGAGAGGGGTGCTGGGAACGCAGCTAGGGCAGGTGGCACTGAGAACACAGGGGCATGAAGGAGCCGCCTCGGGGGTGGAAGTGCCCTCGATCTGACCCGAGTGGGTGCCAGGTGGTGCGTAGGCACTTTATAATTAATCCACTGACTGCGGGGAGTGAGGGAGAAGAGGAACTGGTACCAAGGGCTCATTAGAAAGCAAATGTTTAAAAAATGATGATGGAAACCTATGTACAAACATGCTTGATACGATTGATGCATGGATTGTTATAAGTCCTGTAAGAGCCCTCAATAAAACGATCTTTAGATAAGGGACACGCACTAACTAGAACAATTCCTGTCTGTGTACTTCAGTCTCTATACATTGCACTTCAATTTCCAGCAACTTTGAGGAAAACATGGGGGTGCAGGACTGACAGGTTCTGGTCAGAGAGGCAGCAGGGCCCCTGCCCTCCCCCGCAGGTCCTGACAAGCGGCCCTAAGCACCTAAGGGAGCCCGAGGGAGCCTGGGATGGCAGCGCAGGGCTCTCCAGGCTGCATCCAGCACCAGGGGTGCCTCTAATGACCCCTGCACCCCTGCCCTCCTCCCTGGAGTGGGAGGGCTGCAGCCGTCCCTACACACAGAGGACAGGCAAGACACGCCACAACTGGCTGGCCCTTACACCTCGGGGGAGACTGGCCGGGTGGGGCTGGCCGCCACCTGCTCCTCGGGCTCCTCGGCCTCTTCCTGCCCCGCCCCCACTCCTCGGCCTGCGCACGCTGCTCCAAGCCCCTCTCCTGGGTGCCACGCAGGCCGGGCACCTGCTCCCTTGACGGCAATACAGAGGAAACTGCATTAACGCCATGAGGAAGGCACACGGCCCAGGGGTTACCCCATCCAGGGTCCAGTGGGCTGTGGTGGGAATGAGAGAGAGAGCCAACAAAGCCTCCCACCTCTGGCCTATGCCTCTCCCCAGGACCCCACCCCCACCCCCAGCCCTCTCCGGTAGCAGAATGGCTACGGCCCAGGGAGACGGTCTGCACAGGCACATGGTAGCGGGAGCTGCTGATACAGCACATGGCAGCACTCGCTGCCCCCGTGACTCCTAGGCCCACCATGGAGCAAGGTCTGGGCCGGCAGGGCACCCCGTGCGCACGCGGTCAGCCTTGGATAAGGGCACTGCATGGGCATATCCTGGTGTCTGGCGCACAACAGGCTCCCCTGTGGGTTCACTGAAGGGCTACAATGACACCCCACACCATCCCCTGCCCCTAGAGTAAGGTCCATCCCCTGCCCCTAGAGCAAGGTGCCAGCGGGGAGGGCATTGAGAAGGGTCTTCCTGGTGGGAACCAACCAGCCAGGCCAGCCGCTGCCCCAGGCCCCTGGCACCTCCTCAGCTAGGTTCTAAGCCCCGTTCCATCAGCCTGCCAGCCTGTTCGGTTCGAGACTAAGGACCAGGATGGAGCAGAGCTCCTCACTTTAGGTTCCTGTGGGACGTTAGGGGAGACCTAGCTCACCCCAGCACCCCTTCTCCAAACCCACCCCAACCCTGACTACTCACAGGGAGAGGCTGCAGCTCATTCTTACCTCGGGAGGGAATCCGGCAGGGTGCGGCCTCCTGCCAAGTCCTCCCCAGGCTTCCCGGCCTCCTCCTGCTCAGGCTGGCCCCTGGGGGGCTGGCAGGGAAGGGGGCTTGGGATACACTCCCCTTGCAGCAGCGAAGGCGGTAACCTGGTGAGAACAGCCGGCACAGCTGCGTCAGGGCCGTCCACTGGGAGGCCAGAGCGAGGCCCAGGAGGGCAGGGTGGGTACAAGGTTGTCAGCCTCCCCACCGAGACCCCCCCTGCCCCCTGCCACAGAGGGCACCCAGGCTAGACATGGGGGGAGTCAGGCCCGCCCAGGGGAGGCAGATGACACACTCAGGCGTGTATCCCATCACCAGCCCAGAGGAGGGACAGAGACTGAGAGGGCAGGGAGCAGAGGGTCAGGCGCAAGTGGTCAGACGACACAAAGGCATCGTCAGCACTTCCAGGAAGTAGGGCAGCTGGTTGCTTTTCAGGGTTCAGAGAGTGGAATGACCACCTCCCTTCACTTCCAGGGCGATGGCTCTCTCTTACACCACAGTCCAGGACACAGACTCCTGAGCCAGCCACACACACACACACACACACACACACACACACACACTATGTGAGCTGCAGCCATTTCTGCCGTGCCAGGGCCCTCGCTCGGGGCTCCAGATGGCAGAAGGGACCCTTCAGCATAGCTCCCCCAAGTCTCTGGCTGCTGATGCAGCCCCGATCCATGGTGTGTGTCACACACACACACACACACACACACACACTCTGAGCCCAGCGCACAAAGGCCCTGCTGAACACACAGCGGGGCACTCCGCACTGTGTGAATACAGAATCCGGAAGGACACACACGTAGACAAGGCAGCAGAGACGTGCTCAAGTGGAGAGCACACAGACCCTAGAAGTCATCTGGCTGGCTCCTCGGCTGCCTCCAAGCCCCCCAAACACCGAAACCAAGCCAGTGTCCAGGCCCACACCCGCCTGGAGGCAAGCTCAGGCCACCCCACAAACTGTACCTCTCGGAGCCTTTGGACTGCACGCTCTGTAACTCATCCTGGCTGGACGGGCTGTCGGCCTTGTCCTCTCCTCCCATGGCCTGGGCCTGCGGGCAAAGCAGAGGAAGGGCTGTGCTGGAGGGGTCTGTGCCTGGGTTCCCCACACCCCTGTACACTGAGGTGGCCACACGAGACAGGAGACAAAAGGCCGGTCCACTGCACCGTGAGGCTCCCCGGCCCCACAGCTGCTCAGAGCCTCCCTGCTGGTCTGCAGGGCGTCAGACTGAGGGAGACACAGGAGCCAGCAAGCCTGTCGGAAGCCTTCACCACCGGCTGCAAAGGGGAAGCGGAGTCATTTGTGCACGCTGCAAGTCCCCAGAGTGCCCGGTGGCCCAGTCCTACAGGACGCTGGAATTGGGTGGGAGGCAAGCACCTGAGAACGGAAGTACCCTGGAGAGACGGAGTCTTGGTGAGCGTGAGAGAGCTACACCCAGACCCAGCAGGGGGCCTAGGCAGGCACTTGGAGGAAGCAGGTCAGAGAGGCCCCGCCCCCAGCCCTCCCAGGGCTCATCAGCAGGTAGTCAGGTACCTTCCCAAACAGGATTCCTTTTTTTTTTTAAGTTTTATTGGAAAGAGCAGGAGGGACCTGGGCAAACGTAGCAAGCTGGGGGGAAAGAGAGCGCTCTTGACCATCTCGAGTGGTTCCACAGAGGAAGGCACTGAGGACCCAGCCGTAGCATAGTCCCCGGGCAGCTGGTCTGGCCTCAACCCTTAGTTCTAGCACGTCCTGCTCAGGAAGGCAGGATCAGAAGCCACAGCCTGCAAGGCTTCGGGGGAAGGATTTAGTGAAATCTGGCATGCAAAACCCAGCTGCCTGCCCAAAGGAGGCCAGCCCCCAGTGTAAGCCCCTCTCCCTCACCCCCCTCGAAGGCACTGGGCTCTTTCTGACACGTGACGGCGAGATGGGCAAGAGACAACTCACTCTGTCTTCCCTGCCAGGGTCCCCAAGTCCTGTGCCCACAGCATCCCCCCTCCACTGGCAGCTTGAGCCCAACAGCTGCGGCTGGATGGGCCATCTGGATGGGCCAAGGAGGGAAGGCAGGGCCAGCACCAAACCCACCTCCCACAGACGTGCAGCCGGGGAGCAGCTCCCAGGGCCTCGCTGCTGGAGCTGCCACTGCTGATGGCCTTCACCCTCCCAGTGGGCAATCCCCACCCAGCTCACTGAACACCTCGCCACGTTTCACAAAGAAATCAGAAACCACACAGGCCAAGTCCAGTGTACAAACTGAAAAGTAAGGATGAGTAGTAAAATGGGGAGGTTGTTACTGAAAATGAGGGGGGTTGATGCCCGAGCATCCTAAGGAACGAGGCCGACAGAGGACAGGGCTGGCTGCAGATGGGGGAGACTCTACCATCAACACCGCCATCCTAGAAAAGGGGATCATCCCATGGCCATCGAGTCTGCTTCAACTCAGAGCAGACAGCCTCATCTTTCTCCCTCGGAGCAGCTGGTGAGTTTGAACCACCACCCTGGTGGGCAGCAGTCCAGTGTTTATGGCACAGAGCCACCAGGGCTCCTGAGTAAAGGGGACACCATGAAGAAACTCCCCGATAGTCCTTTTGTAGTTTTCCTGTATCCTTCGGACTTTTTACTCCAAACGGGGACCAAAGAAAGCAGATGAGGAAATTAGGAAGGAGGCAAGGTCCTTAAGACTGAAATGCCATTTCCTGCTCCTTAACTTCCGGCTTCATTTCGGTCTACAGCCCAACCTCAGATGGAGAAGTCCGGGCACATTTTTACTGCAAAATGCTATGCATACGGTAAAACAAGCAGATTTTGTAGCCTGAGCCCAATTTGGGAACAGGGCGTGGGGAGGAGGGCGGGGGAGTGGGGAGGAGAAACAATTGAAAATGGATCAAGCCTTATATGTTTGGGGAAATTTTTGTTTCTGGTGAGAACAACGCAAGATCTAGTCATGACATCCAACACAAACACTGCCGGACGACGACGACGAGTTCTCCCCTTTGGGAGTGAGCTAGAAAGTGGAGACCGCTGACCTCATCAACGATCTGAAAGAACTGCATCGCACTTTTCTAATCTATCTGCAACGCACGGTTTAAAAAGCATACAGTGACCACTAAGTCTCTTGACTGGCATGATGGTTCCAAGGGTCTGTGCATGAGTCAAAACTTAGCAAAACAATCTTGACAAGTCTAAGGGTATGTCGGTTACACAGTCTTGTAAAGAAATCAACAAAAGCTGGCCTAGCTCAGCCCTAAGTCTCTGCACGGGCCCTGGCCTTGGGAGAGACCAGGCGCTCAAGTGAAATGGTGAGGGGTCTGCTTAAGGGCCACTGAGCTCGTGGCAGTGGCAGGAGAGGTGGGGTGGCCAAAGATGGCAAGACTGGGTGCACAACTTGAAGAGCGCAGCAGTGTTGGGAATTACCTGATGGGCACTCCCGGAGCTGGCATGGGGGGAACGGGGGTGGGGTGGGGTGGGCATCTACTTTTACCAATGTAACATCGTCATAAGAACACGAGCGAGAGCCCATGGGAAGGACAAAGATGGGGGTGTTGCATCTGTAACTCTGGGTGTCCCATAAAGGGCTGCTGCTCATACCTCCTGGGCCACCTCTGCCCAACAACTGTGCCCACCCCAGACCAGCCCTGAAGCCAGGAGAGAGGCTGAGGCTGCACGGCTCCACAAGGTTCCTTCTGGTCTGCCATGCTGAGCCCCCAGCACTGCCTACACCCTGAATGGCTGGCCCGGAAGTAAAGCTTAGGGCTTCCTCTGCCTGGATTGGCTGCCTCAGGGGATACCTGGTGAGAAGCGGATCCAAGTCAGACCCTAAGACTGCTTTCCCCCAAGTGACAGGGCCCAAAAAGAGCCTAGTGGCCTCATTACGTCTTAGGGAGGCCCTACACAGTAAAACTTCCAACTGATTCTGAAACCGGCCACCGAAGTCCACCGTGCTCTGACCACCCTACCTTTCTCGTGTACCCCTTCCCCCCACCCCATGCCAAAGCAGCCTCGCCAGTCTCTGCTCTCCCGATTCACCCCACCTGCCCTGGCTGTGCTCTGGCATCACCCTGGCAGGCGCTGCAAACTGAGGCAGCCTCAGCCCAGCAGAAGCCGGGTGGCCAGGCCATGGTCCAGACCTCAGAGGGGCAGGGAGTGCTCATATAATCGCAGCCGGCTGCAAAATTCTAGCCCGTCTTCGGCCCTCATTTCTCGAAGGACACCCAGTCTTGAACCATGCGACGCCCTGGTTTGTTGTGCTTTCACCCAAGCTGCACACTCGGCACGTGCAGAGGTCAGGCGAAGGCATTTCTCGTGCACCCAGCCCCCAGGAGAGGGAAAACGGTGATCTCCGCTTCACACGCCTGAAAGATCGGCTCTATGATCCAGTCCCCTTGACACCTGGCCTGGGTCAGGCGAGAGCCAGGCCCACACAGAGCTTCCCCGCAGAAGAGGGGCTGGACAGACAACCACGAAACAAACCAAGAAGCACCAGAGGAGCAAAGGGGGGGCTCCATCTCCATCCTGGAGGAGGTGCGTCAGTGGGGGGCCTCCAAGTGGTGGGCACTGTGCCCCAGAAGGGCAGAGCGGTTGGTTGCACGTGACTGGTGTGTGGGAGGTGGGCTGGGGAAGAGATTGGAAGGATGGATGGGCCAGGTCTACGAAGAGCTTGGGAACCCAGCCCCACAATCTGCACGGTACACAATGCCAGGTGGTTGGCTGTTGAGTGCTGAATGAAGGGAGATACAGCTGAGTCAACAGACACAATGCTGACTCAGAGCATCGAGGAACAGGAATGGTCAGGAGCCCCTGCAGGTTCTCAGCGCCAGGGCCGGGCTGCGCCTAGTGAGCAAGAAGGGAGAAACTCCCAGAAACACAGCTGGTGACAGGCAGGGCTCAGCTCCAGGTTATCCCAGAAGAGGGCTGCCAGGGAGGGTGAGGCCGCAGTCTGCCCGCCCACCCACCCAGAGACTCACCTCCCAGAGGGTGCCCTCCAGGGCCGGCCGAAGCACATCCACAGCCAGCAGGCGCTCTGTGATCCGGCTGCGAAAACCGAAGTCCTGCACACAGTGGAGATGGGCGGTCGGCCGGGGCTTCCCCTCCACCCCACATCCACCTCCCAGGAAGGCACTGCTGTGCCATGCACCCGACGGCACCGTTTGACCGCCCAGTAGCACGGTGGCGACGTGGTTGGTTCAAACCCCCACCAGCCACTCCAAGGGAGAAATCAGCGGCAGTCAACTTCCACAAAGATTCCATCCTGGGAGACAGGCCAGTTCTATCCTATCGGTTGCTATGAGTCAGACCGGGCTTAATGAAGTTAAGCTTCCCACGACCCTGAGTAGACGGACAGACGTGTGGTCACACAAGGGAGGGTCACGTGAAGTACGAGATCCCTCGTGAAGGATGACGACGACAAAAGCAGCCCTGCAGGGCTGACATTTTTAGCCTCGTCTTGAGGTGGCGCAAGTCACTCCGTGAGCAGGAGCCAGGTGCGAGAGGTCAGGTGTGCCTGTGGACTGACTTCCAAGACCGCGCAAGCTGCAAAGCACGTCCCTCCCAGGTGTCTCTCCCCAGCAGCGCCTAAGAATTCTGGGAATTCCTGGATTTCCTCCTTGGAGGGGGAAGACACTTCTCTCTGCAGCTGACGAGACACATGGGACCACGCTAGTGCCCTGAGCTGGAGAAGCACGTGGACCTACCCTGATGCAACCAGACCTCTGGAGCCAGGGAAGCCACGTGGAGACCCCTGTTGGTGTTGAGGTGCTTACGTCGTCACTGGATCCAAAGACTTTCCACCCACTGGCCTGTGATCGTCCTGCATTCGGCGTCACTGCAAGTGTTTCGTGAGTCTGAAGAGGACTTTGTAGATTGGTACTGGACATATGGGCTAATATCGGACTTGTGGGCTTGGACTGGACTGGGATGGGATGCTTTCTTAATGTACAAGTACCCTTTCTATAAAAGTCTCTCTTATCCACATAGGAGCTTCTATGCGTTTGTTTCTCTGTCTCCCCGGACTGATACACAGGGCTTGGTGGACTTACTCCCAGCTCTCCCTCCCCTCCCCGGCATGCACCCCTCTGGACACCAGGACTGATGGGTGGCTGTTCGTCCAAGGGCAGTGAGAGGGTGCCCACCCCCATGCCAGCTCTTTCCTGTCCTTCGCTGCCAGAGGACCATGATCCCAGCCCTCACAGTCCAAGTACCCTGCTGGGTTCCGTGAAGGACTGATACCTAACGGAGCATGCTAATGGGGACAGCCCCGGCGGGAGGGCCAGCCAAGGTCTGGTCCCGCTGTCCACAGCTTCCTCCGCGCGCTCGGCGAGGGAAGAAAAGCACTGATGGGCACGTTTCTCCATGTGGGTGGCTCCCTCAGCAGGGCAAGGCCCTGGCTTCCAAGGGTGCCCTGACCAGGTTATTCTTCCCGCCGCCGACCACCACTCGGGCTTTCCCTTCCTTGGGGTGACACTTCCCCTCCAGTTTGAGTTCTACTCCACTTAATGCAGCTACCATCTGCCTCCTAAGCCCACGGCCTGCTGATTCCACAGCACCCCTCCGAGCCTACTGCTCCTCCTCGCTCCGGCCCCACTGAGCCCTCCCATGAGACCGGCCTGCTCTGGGCAGATGGAGGAGAGTTTCGTGAGGTGACCCTCTGCCAAAAGGCACCCAAACCACTCCCCTCAGGGAGGCAGGCCCAGCAGGCTGGCTGGCAGGTCAGGGACAAAGCAACCGTGGATGCCGACTTTCCGGAACAAAGTCTGGACTGGACTTTAGAAAGAAAGCCACCACCTCCTACATCTCAGTGATCTCTCTCTTTCTCGTTCACACACACACAGTACTCTCTACTCTCCAAGGCCTGTGTAATGTTTAGCCAGCACCCAAACACAGCGGACCTGATCTCACAGGCAACTCTCACAATCACTTCAACAAAAGCACACAGCAACCTCACGCCACCCAGTTACTCCCAGCTCACAGTGACCCTACCACACAGCGCAGAGCGGGCCCTCTGAGTCCCTTTACAGGAGTAGGCGGCCTCACGTTTCTCCCACCGATCGCACAGCAGTTGCGGTGAAGAAGAGCTAACATTTTTATCTAATGTTTACATGCAGACACTTTAAATTCTTTCCCTCAATTTCTTCCACGATGAAACCTATCAAGTAGATAGCGTTACCCTTATGTAATGGCTGAGCAACTGGAGTTAGACAGGAGCCGTGTTGGAATCCTAACCCCCGCTTACTAGCTGTGGGTCCTAGGTGGGTCACTTAACCACAGGGGCGCCACCATGCTGCAGCGCAGCTCACACTCACCAGGTCAAGGAAGGACCGGGACTCCGAGGCGGTGGACTCTGACAAGGGCCGCTCCTGCATGTGTTCGCTGATCTCTGACGCCTGGGGGGTTGGGGGGGAGGAGTGTCAGATATACAGAGACATCACCAGGCTACGCCGAACACAGGCCAGCCGGGCAGGTCCACAGCAGAAAGGAAGAGCAAGGGGGACGGGGAACTTCAAGGAACTTCGTTCCGACCACAGTGCCAATACAAGGCTCAGCCCAAACAGAAACCCACCTCTTCTAGAGGATGCATGGACGGCCTGTGGACCCTCACCTTCTCTCTGGACACATGTGCCAGCCCCCACACCTCTGGGCTGGGCAGCCCAGCTGAGACTGGACAGCACTAGCCGAGTCAGGTCAACAAGGATGCATGCGTGCAAGGAAGGCCAGGTGCCGCGGAAGGGTTAGACAACTGGGACCTGGGAGTTTGGTCCTGTGCTGGCATATGGAATAAAGGTATCTTTTCTTTAAAGCAGACACTGGTTCTTTAAACTAATTACCCCACCACCTACCTAGAAGGGAAAAGGGGGCTAAGGGCTGGAAAACCCAAAATGTCAAAAGAGCTGACATGGTCTGGCCTCGCCAAAGCAACAACTCTCCTATCTTGGGTTGGCTCAGAGAGACCACAGAAATCCAGGCGTTTTCTGGCCACCTAATTTTCTGCCTGTGTAGGGGGCGGGACACTCCCAACCAGGCCCCCTCCTCCCACGACAAGCATGAGTGCCCACACGGGTGTCAGGGAGCAGAAGAGACGAGAACGGGAAGCCACACTGTCCCAAGGGGTTTTCCGTGGGCAAGGCGAGCGCGGCTCTGGACTGCCAGTGCCGGCAGCCTTGCAGTCTCACTCAGGACTTTACCATGTGGCGGGACCCGGGCACATCCATCCCAATGAAGGGTCTGGCTGATGAGGTGGGCCCAGTGCAGGGTCCCCAAATGAATCTCCTAACTCAGTAATAGAGGTGCAGGGCTAGGACACTGCGTAGAGAGAGGCCCGGGGGCGGATATGGGAAACAAAGTAACGCAAAGGTCTTAGCTATAACTGATCATGCTGAGGGAATCAGTTGCTGGGCCCGGGGTCTCGTGACCACGGTCTTGGGGAAACACTGAGGCCAGCTGGCACCACATAGCCATGACATTTATACTCCACTCTGACCAATAATGAACGGGCTCTTAAAGGCTCGTGGGCAGCCATCTGAGCGAGAGGCAACTATGGGCTTCTCACTGTTCCTGGAAATCGTCAAATGGACAAATGGGCCATGAAGGGGACCTCAGACTCTACCACCCTGAGACGAGAAGAACTAGATGGTGCTGTGGCAGTTCCAGAATCTCCTGTCAACTTGCAAAGGGGTGGAGTCTAGCCTGTCAATCAGGTTGCACGCAGCTTGATGACCCCATTTGGAGGCATGAAGGCGATAAATAGCTCACTGGAGGGCAGACACACTCTCTGCTTCGTCTTCCTCCTGACAAGACAGATGGCGCTGCAGTGATGCAGCCAGAGCCCTGGAGCTGGAGGAGCCTCGTGGAGACCCACGCCAGCACTGAGATGCTTCTACCACCACTGGATCCACAAGACTTTCCACCCACTGGCCTGTGATCTTTCTTCCGGCATTTGGCATCATTGCATGTGCTGCATGAGTCTGAAGAAGAATTCATAGACTGGTAATGGACATACGGGTTAATATGGACTTATGGACTTGACCCGGACTGGGCTGGGATGTTTTCTTGATGCGCAATTGTTCTTTGATATAAAGTTCTCTCTTACGCACATATGAGTGTCTATAAGCTTGTTTCTCTAGTCCACCCAGACTAACACAGGTGCCCAGCTACCACAACCAACTGTTTTGAAGGGACCACATTAGAAGGTTCTGGATAGAGTAGGAGAGTACAGTAGAACAAAACTCACACTCATAAAAAGACCGGGTATACTGGTCACATAGAGACTGGTGGAACCCCCAAGACTACGGCCTTTAGTCACCCATCAGGTTTGAAAATGAACTCCCCTCCACACTCAATTTTCCACCAAACAATAGACAGGTGCATGGGCGGAACAAGAACACCAGTGAGACAAGCACACTTTAGAATAATCACCTATTTGAAACCAAAAAGGCAGCATTTGGCTAAAGACAAAGTTCAAAAGGAAGGATGGACACAGAACACAAGAAGGAAGCCGGATTAATGGTGCTACATCATGGGGATCGCAATCAATGGGCTGGCTTGCTCAGTGGGAAACTGATCTGTTCTGTAAGCCATCGGCAGTTCACAATAAAGCGTCGCACAGAGGGGGAGGAGGGAAGGAAGCCCGGGGTGTGGCCTGTAGACCTGTCTATGGACCAGAGTGACTCACTTCACTGGCGTCTGATCTCTCTTTCAGGGAGGAAGCTTCCCTTCGGGGCTCCTCTGCTGCCTCGTCCTTACTGAAGCCTTCCTCTCCTGCATCCACCAGGTCCACGGGTGCCTCCTTTTCCGAGGATCTGGCAGACTGACCGCCCTCTGGATCCAGCCTGGCAGTCACCTGGTTCCTGGAGGCCCCGGCATCACTTGTCTCCTTGTCTTCTTTTCCTGGGAGCCAACCCCCCTTTCCCGATTGCGCATGGCCATCGGCACTGCTCAGGCTGCTATCTGCACCTTGGCTAAAGAGCTTGCCAGGAGTAGGGGGGCCAGCAGCACTGGAATCAAGAGACGCATCTTTCTTCTCTTCTCGCTTGCTTGTTCTGGGAGACTCCTAGAGAAGGCAAAAGATGTCAGAAAGAAGACATAAGGAAGTGATCAAAGGAACTCAGAAACTTGCTACAAGACAGAGATGGTCATTCCTTAACACTAGCTCAGGGACCAATGATTGGCAAACCAGATTTTAAAACACAGATTCCTGGTTCCACCCCAGATCTACTGAGTAAAATTTCTGATGATGACTTTGACATACCCAACCTGGCCCCGCCCACACAGGCTCAGACACTGGGCTGTCCACCCCCTTCACCATCAGTCAGACCCTTGAGTGACAGATAAAGTTGCCTCGAGAGATGTTGCTTATCTTGAGTTTGTCATTCCCAGGAGAGTAAAGCATAGGATTATACAATTCAAAATGGCCCACGTTAGTCGATTTCAACTCAGTAATGCCTAGGATATCGATCTTTAATGTGTTCCATAAAGATTTTTTAGGGGTTGGGGCGGAATCCTTTCAATTGTCCTAGATTCATACTTCACGCATCCCCTGTTCTGACGATTCATGGGTGTTTGTAGCTCCTTCTTCCCACGCTGAGTCGAGCTCCAACAGCAGGTGAAGGCCCCGGAGCTCTGCCCTGTCCCTGTCACTACGGCCCGCTTGGCCCCGAGGAGGCAGCTCTTCCCCAGCCGTGCTGAGTCTTCCAACCTGAGCGGCTCATCTCTGGTGCACATGGATGTTTCACGTCAGTTTGCTTGCTGTCTGCCGTTTGTGCGCGCTCGGCTGTTTGATAGTGCAATTGTGCCAGGTATCAGGGTCCATTTTTCAAAATGATATTCATAGTTCTAAGTTTCACATCGATGTCTCTGATCCACCTTGAGTGGCTTTACCTGTCTGGTGAGGCATGGGTCCTCCTTCATTTTCTACGAATGGAGATCAGGTCTGGCCACCACCATCTGTCGCAGAGATGATCGGACCCCATTCCATGGGTTTTGGCCCCTTATGAAAATCATCAGCTGTCCACTGGTGCAAAGATTTGATTCTGGGTTCTCACTTAAGTGCTGGTAGGGTATGAATCATTCTTTGAAAGTTAGCAGGGATGGAAGGTAAAGAGCGGCAGGCAGATCACTAGCCAGAGGGTAGAGACATGTTAATTTGGCTGACAGTAAAAGCCACATACAGTAAGAGGGAGGTCAACACTGTAGAACCAGGAATGATTGAATGTGACTCTTCTAGCCAAAGTCTCATGGTAGATAGAGTCTTTTCCTGCACAGGTCTGGAAGGCTGGGGAAGACCCTGATAGGATTCACCTGTGAGTAATTAGACACAGGATTGCCTGGAGCGCCATCCTGCTGTGGATAAAACAACCCCTCTGAGAAGCACGAGGAGAGGTCTCATGGTCAGCCAGAGCCAGAAGTGGAGCCACGTCCTCTGGACCCGAAGCCCCTGAGCAGCAAACCTCCTGGAAAACAACCACACCATGGAACAGAGCGGTGGGCTTCCCAACCCAAAGAGCAAGTAAAGGTGAGTGCTTTGGTGCAGGCGGCTGACTCGCCGAGTGGGGCACCTCTGGGCACTGAATTGGGGAAGCTGACCCGGAGGCCAGAAGTAGAGGGTACCCAGTTACCACTCTGAAACGGATCCTTTTTGTTCCAGAAAAAGGTTGAACAGGCAGGGAGCACTAGAAGTGGTTGTGATGGTGTATACACGACTCTTTTTAAAAGCGATTTAACTATGGAAGCGTATGATATGTGAATGTTATATCAAGAAAAGGACCGAAAAAAAGAGAGAAAGGGGTGGAGCTAAAATATTTAAAAAGCCAGGCTTATTGGTCTCAAAGAGACTAACAGAACCCCAAAGCGATGGCCCTTACACAGCCTCGAGGTCTGAAACGGAACTTACTTTCATGGCTCAACTTCCAGCAAAGGACAGACAGGCCTCTCAGGGGAACAGTAACAGCAGGGAGGGATTGCTCGCTCATTCGAACAGTCACCATACAAGACTGAAAGGGCAGCGTTTGCCCAGGGATAAAGCTCAAACAGCAGGAAGGGGCAGGAGTGAAAGACAAAGGGAAGTGGTCAACCGAGGGTGGGAGCGCAAACAACGTTACACTGTGGGGATTACCATCCATATCACAAACCAAAATATATAAGAACTGCTAAATGGAAAACCCCCTAAATGACAATTTTTTAAAGGATGATCATGGATAACCCAAAACTTCATCTCACAGACGTTGGACTGCTATCAGGAAAGACCAGTCGCTGGACAAGGCACCTGCTTGGTAAAGTAGAGGGTCCTCGAAGAGGAGGAAGACCCTTGACAAGTTGCACTGACACAGACCCGCAAAAAGAGAACATGGTAAGGATGGCAGGAGAGAGCCAGGCAGGTCCCGTTCGGTGGTGCACAGGTGGTTCTGAGTCGGCACCAACTCGACGGCACCCAACAGCGGCAGGAATGGACAGAGAAGTACCAAATCTACAATTTAGCGATTTCATTTTGCAAAGGCAGCAGTGGGAAACCACCCACAGGGTGCCCTTCTTCAATAACCTATTCCCTACGCCGCCTCTGTGTACGCTGATCATAAGCAGCCTTGAAGGCAGAGTTCTACCTAGGCCCTGTGTGGGGTCAGGGGTGCAAGGGATGAAGGCGTGTGGGGGCTAAAGAAGGTGGAAAAGTCTTCAGAACAGGAAGCGTGTGGGGGGAGGTCAGATGCGCAGGCATTCCCTCCCCTGAAGGCAATCAGTTGCCAGACTGCTGTCTCATCCCTCCGCAGGGGTGGGCCTGCTCCCTGCCTCTGGGGACAATGGACAGGCTCCTGTAGGTGGAGTTTTCACCCTACTGATAATGTTCCTATGGAGACCCAGAGACCACCCTAGACCACCCCCTATAGTGTAACCTATAGTGTAACCCCTTCCTGTGACATATGTCTACCTGTAATTAGTGGGCTGGCATGCCCCCAAAAGGTATATAGGCATGAGTCAGCAATATAGAGCTCTCGGACCTCTCAGACCTCTCTGACTCTCTCTGGCTCCCCTCTCTTCCCCCTCTCCCTTGTTCCCTTGCCCTCCTTCCCTTCCCCCTCTCTCCACGTGGACCACCAAGCTGGGCTGAGGTGAGCAATGCTACCATGAAATGTGTCTGACTGCATTATTGTAATATCTCTCATGCTCTCACTGACTTTAATATAATACTTATATACCTCAACTGTACAATTGCACTTACTGAACCCGTGGGTAGTAGTAGTATCAGCGGGTGGGGGCTGGCCCCCAACTCCCCCGTGCCACTTTTAATTTAATACTACAGAAGCGGGTCTGATACTAGTGACAGGGGCACGGGGAGGAGGGGGTTGAGTAGGAAGACTTCAAGCCATAGCACCGTTTGGAGAAAATGATGGCCATGCAGACAGAGTCCCCTATTAGAAGTGTCTCCCCCTGGGCAGAAAGGACCCTGCTGAGTCACTGGGAAGGAGCATGGCCTTGGCATGGACTCCAAGATGGGTCTGAAGGTGCAGCTGGAGGCAAATGGACTAGTGGAAAACGATCTATCTGAGCAACACAACTCAAGGGACGCCACAACCCGTCCACTATGGAAACCTAGCTCTACAGATTATGAAAACTCTAAGGCTGGTTCTACTTAAATTCATCCCGGTCTACTAAAATAGAGAAAGAAAACGCTCACTTGGAAATACAGCCTGTGGTCTCTTCCTGGGCTCTGGCTGAGAAGCCTACCTCCCAGGCAACATCTGTGGTAACACTTGGATGGGCTGAGTGACTTCTGAGCAGGAATTTAAAAGACTTCCTTATTTCCTGTCCTGAAGACTCCAACAAGGAGCATGACCACTTAGAAGGCCCAAACATGGTCCTTCCTCATCTCATCTGTTGAAATGCCCACTGAGCCCAAAGGGAGACCATGCCCCCATAGGCTTAGTAGCCTACTGACAAGCTAACGAAAGCTTCCCAAGGATGGCGGAGAGGCAGGGAAGTGGAGAGGTTCAGTGATTAGGTGAGGAGCCAGACTTCCTCAGTTCAAATCTTAGGTCCGCACTTACAGCTGTGCCGTTTAGAAAATTACTTACTCCTCTGGGCCTTAGTGTCTTTATCCAAAATATGGAAAATATTAGAATCAGTGGTGTACTGGTTATAGGTTGGACTGCTAGCTGCAAGGTCAGTAGTTCAAAACCCCCAGCTGCTCCTTGGGAGAAAGACAAGGCTTTCTATTTCCACAAAAAATTTAGTCTCAGAAACCCACAGGGGAGATTCTACCTTGCCCTACAGGGTCACTAGGAGTCAGCATCTACTCAGCGGCAGTGAGTGAGACCACCCTGACAAAAGCCCACCACTCTCAGCCTCATTTCATCCAGGAGGTCTTCCTTGACCCCCTACAGCCGCTGATCGGAGATGAGCCTTCCCCATCCTCTAAAACAGTGGTTCTCAACCTTCCTAATGCTGTGACCCTTTAATACAGTCCCTCATGGTGTGGTGACCCCCCCCACCATAAAATTATTTCGCTGCTACTTCATAACTGTAATTTTGCTACTGTTATGAATTGGGAGACCCTTGGGAAAGGGTCGTTTGATCCCCAAAGGGGGTCTCGACCCACCGGTTGAGAACCGCTGCTCTAAACCTTACGTTCCCAAGCGTAGTGGGCCTACCGTCCCCGTTTCAGGGAGAAACAAACCAACAGGCACTTAAAAGTGTTTGTACTACAGTCCTAGGCCAGGATAAAGTGTAGGTATCTGCTTTTACAGCCCCTTTGGATCATGCAAACACCCTCTGGGGGGGGGCGGTATCACCCACTTGGAGAAACACTGCTCTAAACTACGATTACATCATTGCTAACTTCCTTGCCTGTTTCCCTCGCTAGATTAGCTTTCTATGAGCCCCAGTGCCTAGGACCTCAATAAGTGCTTGTCGATTGAATCACTTAAAAATCAATCAATGTAGTTGTAAGCAATTGCGATTTCCCTCCCCACCGTGTAAAATGGAGATGTTATATTTACTTCCTATGGTGTTAGAGGGATTAAAACATCTCTGTGAATGTGCTCATTAAACTGCAACTAGCGA